TCCCTCTCCTCCCTTCTGTCTCTCTCCTCCCTTCTCTCTCTCTCCCCACTTCTCTCTCCATCTCTCTCTCTTTCTGTACACACACGTACACACAAAACACATATAAATTTTTCATTAAACCATTTGATAGTCATCTGCAATTCAAGATTGCCTAGTAGTAACACGAACACACAGTCATTCATTTTTGAAGAATCCAGGCCAATTATTCTGCAGAATTGCCCTCACTCTGAGGGTGATCTTTACTGATTAGATTCCAATTAAATGTCTGGCAAATGCTAGCTAGCTGGTGGTAGGTCCTCATGATGCCGGGGTGTCTGATCAGTGTTGAGTCTGACCACTCGTAGAGGAAGGAAGGCCTGCCCTGACACATTGTCCCATCTTTCTTTTTTTTTTTTTCTTTTTGAGTTGGAGTCTCATTCTGTCGCCCAGGCTGGAGCGCAGTGGCAGGCATGCTCACGGCCATCTCAGCATTGGCCTGCTGGGTTCAGGCGATCCTTCCGTCTCTGCCTTCCAAGTAGCTGGAACAACAGGCACTTGCCACAACGCCTGGCTAATTTTTGCCATTTATTGTAGAGAGGAGGCCTCACCAAGTTGTCCAGGCTGGTCTCGAACCCCCAGGCTCAGGCCATCCTCTCGCCTTGGCCTCCCAAAGTACTGGGATGACAGGCTGAGCCACCGCACCCAGCCCACATTGTTCCATCTTAAAGGCACCGTCTCCTTTTTCTACCTGATATACTTGAGTGATCTAAGACTGATTACCCTGTTCAAGTCTGTCTTCCACTCGGCAGCCCAGTTTGTAAGTGAAGTAAATGTTTTACTTCGTGTCTGTTTGCTTTGGTTTGTCTCCATGTCAGGTCTCAAAGGCATCAGCGGACCTCATGTCCTACTGTGAGGAACACGCCCGGAGCGACCCTTTGCTGATAGGGATACCGACTTCAGAAAACCCCTTCAAGGATAAAAAAACTTGCATCATCTTATAGTGGGAAGCGCAACCATTCCTCACCTCTTCTCAACGACGCAATTATGAGCAACTCCTTGAAGAGATGCACCTTCAGCTTGTTTGGTAACCACTGCTAATAACGAAAATGCTGTCAACTGGGAGTAATGGGCTCTGAGTCTTTATTTTCCGAGTTGCCCTTTCTCTAAAATACCCCTTACTGGTTTAATATGGAATAACAATCTTGTTTTCTATGTGGTAACTATGGTGTTAGTTGGGTTACTGTCTAAGGAAAGTTGGTCAGGGCCATTTTAAAAACAAAATTTTACCCTTTAAGTGTATAGTTGATTCAGCTTTATCAAGACCTAGATTGCTTAAGCACCCATCAAATTAAAATGCCAAGAATAACTTAAATCCGAAAACCTTTATCCTATGCGCTGTGTAAAGCTTGTGCCAGCCTGCCTAGTATACAAGGAGGAGGGGTATTTGTGTATCGTCTTTGTGTGTAACTTGTGGTAACTCCCCTCCCTCCATTCTGTCAGTTTCTCAGTTCCAGAAGTCACGTTTTCATCCTGCGCTCTCTGTAGGTCAAATAAACGATTCTTTTCTTGTGGCTATACAGAAGTGAAGAGCACCCCCCAGACTGTGTTCATTGGAACACAGCTGGCAACGCAGCCCTCTCTCCTTTCCCGAAATCTGGCTGGACCTCTTATGCTAGCATAAAAACTGCGCCAATTAAAGATTGCCAAGTGAACGAAAAGCTCTTTGGTAATACGGGGTATCAGTTCACAAGGAGCCCTTAGGCTTCGACGATCCTGAGTCTAGAAGAGGGAGGAGACCCTTGGGAGGGCCCGGGCAGCTGTGCTCCCAGGCTCAAGTTCTCTGCTGGATTAGGAGGAGACACCTCTGAAATTTCCGCCCTGCTGGTTGGAATGAGTTGGAAGGAACATGAGCCCAGCCAGAGAGGAGCAGGAATGTTGGAAACCAGCTGCCCTTCTGGGCCCAGCTTTGCTATGGCGCCCTCTTTCCTTACCTCTCCTGGCTGGCCCTGTGTTTTTTCTCTAGATTCTATCTGCAGTGGTAACGCTGCCCTCCCCAGCCCTAGGGGCGCAGAACATGGTAGAAAAGAAACATACAAAATGTCAAGGTCACAAGACACTTGAGCTTTTTTCAGATGCCTACAGTTTCATCCCTACCTTGTCCAGAAACCATCCTGGAGACCACGGGCCATCCGGGAGAGGCTTGAGCTCCGTGGGGCCCTCCTTGGGGACACTCCCTGGGTCCAGAGGCCCCAGCAGCTGGGCACAGGCTCTTCGAGTGTCCTCTGAACATAAACACAGCCCTCACCCCTCAGAATTTCCCCAGGGTATCCCAAAGGAGTCCCCTATGGCCAAGAGGTGTCTTGAAAGAGAGGATCCTTTTAAAAATGCTCACTACAGGCCCAAACCATATATCAGGCCCGTGGTATTTCAGTTCATCTTCAGTTCACTGAAAGCAGCTACCAATGAATGACTAAAAACTTACTCTGAAAAAGGCCTCAACCCCAAGAAGGAATTATTTACAACAGTTTCCCCAAATATTGTACAATCTGCCCTGCGAAGCAAGCCCCTTGTAAACTCTAACATGTGGATGTTGAGTCTCACGCTCGTTGAGGGTGAATAAATGCAGTCCTGTTTTTAAGCCGTTCACACATGGTCAGTGTTTCTTCAAGTCACCCATCACCTCGGCATTGTGAGCTTCCAAGATCATGTGAAGTCACGGCCCCACCCTTCATCTGTGCTGTCTGCGGCTCGGTTCTGCAGTATGTCCAGTTACTGAATACCGTGTAGGTGCCTGATGGAGAGAGAGAGAAAGCCTTTACCTTCCAAAGGGTGAGATTTGAAGTGTACTCTAAAAAGACAACTTTACACTTAATGCTTCACTGAATGAGACATTCTTTTTTTATAAGTATATTTTTCTACTGATAGTTTCAGAACACTAATCTGATTTTCACTGATTTTTAACATGTTTCTTTAAATATTTATAATGCAGCTTGTTAAAAATATTTTCATGGAATTCTTTTATTATTATACCATTGTGGGCACATTATTGGTAGTAAGCATAGTTTATTCTTTAGTACTAAAACATGTTATTTTCCCTAAGAGTAAACAAATCTGTTTTGCTATGTATTTTTTAACATGCTAATAGAGGTAAGAAATGAACTTGAGGTCCCAGGAGATTTTCTTTTCTTTCCCCTGGTCAGATGTAATAAAGGCTCTGAGTACAAATGCTGTGTAACTTCCTAACCAGGTGTAGGGCTTGTTCATGAAAAAATGTAATCAAATCCTTTGATGCTGGACCCGGGAGGGGAAAAATTGTAGCTCAGTGTTGATTTACTTAGAACTAGATATCTATGTGAGAAAATATAATATATGTATACTATGTATGTGATGTGCAGAAGTCACTTTTATTCATCAGGCTTGATTCTCCTTACGAAGCCTCAGTTTAACCGTCTGCAGAAGCTGATGTATGGTCATGCTGAACATATGCCCAGTGTGTGTTATTTTTTCAACAACCACTGTAATGACACACATATCATGCGTGCAGCTTCTCAGCTTCATTTCCATGAAGCTGTTTAAATATGCTCAGTATACTTTGTCTGTAATGCTGCTTCTGTTTCTTTCTGTTTCTTATGTGATCTGTTTCTTTTCTTCAATCTTGTATCTTCATTAATTCATCATAAATCTGTTCAGTTGAGGCCTCAGGACCGTGGCAAGGCTTCATGACTCCAAAGTACTTTACAGAAACACAGTTTTTTAAACAGAAAAATATTTTATATACCAGGTGGTTCACAAGCTATGGGTTGTAGCTAAATACTTTTCTTCTTCTAAAAAAAAAGTTAGGTTTTTAAAATACCGTATTAAAGTGAAAAATGCCACACTTACCTTTTAAAGGGAAGACACGATCTGCTTTCTCTCTGTTTGGACTGTTTTGTACTTTACTAACCTTTAAACTACCAAGAAGAAACCAAAACTTTATACCCTTGATGTAGTTGAGGCGTAGGCTAGCTTCCATCATAAAGGATGCACCAGGCCTCCCCTTCAGATGCCGCCTTCTCAGCCAGTTTGTAACCACGATGGTGCCATCTGGCTGGCTGTCTGAACTTTGATTTATAAGATATACAGAGGCCCAAGAAGCGCGCTGCAATGCATGTCAGGCATTTCTCAATGAAATATATGTAATATCAGAGTATGTTACGGATTGTGTTCATTCCTTTTCTGGTAGGCCTGTTAATAGGAAAAAATAGAATTATCAAATAGAATTATTGATTAGAAGCTGAGAGGGAGGGAGGGAGGGAGGGAAGGGGGAAGGAAACACTCATCTGACAGCAGTGGCTGATTTCAGCCCTGGCGCATATGGCTTTCGACAAGGCGCTTCATCTCTCTGGGCCCCATGTCTCCTTCGGTCAAACAAGGGGCCAGAAGTAGAAGACGGCTGCTATCCCTTCTTGTCCCCGTGCCTCAGTCCGTGCCCTGTCCCTCTGCCGGTCCTGCCAACGTGTTGGTGCTACAAGCTGCTTCAGATATAAATGGGTTTGTCTTTAACACGCGCTCATTTAGTAGCTTATAAAGGCCTTTTTGTTATACAGTGCTTACAGCGCTTTTTCCTGGTTTTATGGACTTGGTTACTGTACTACTGCCTTGTTTTCAGCCTTGTAACTACAAACACGTATCCTCTTGATGTCTCAGTGAACTTGCACTTGGTATATATATATAATCGATGAAATTCTGTTATTTTATAATATTGTTTGCCTACTCATCTGTCTAGCATTCAGTCAGCCTTAGCACTGTGGTTGCTGTTTGGAGATTTATCTTATCGAAAGAATAAAAGCATTTACTTCACAGCTAGCATGCTCACAGATTTGAAAGAAGTGTCATTAAAAGCACTGTTGCTTTCTCGACCGGGTCGGTGCCTCACTGTGTCATCCTACCTGTGTTTCACTTAATAAATCAATAGAAACTCGTCTCTCTTCCCTTTCCTGCATCCCTTCCGTCAGCACTTTCTGAGCACCTTCTGGGAGTCAGGCTCTGGTGACACCCGGATGAATAAGACTCGCACCAGCCGGCGACAGGCTCTGTCTAGCCAAGGAGGGTGGGGGTGACGGGTGTATCAACAAATGCCTGTAGTCGCCTGTGGCAAATGCCACAACTTAGGCAAACACGGGCACTGTGTGAGCCCGGAGGGCGGGGGGCCTTGCTCCACACCCATAAAGCCCCCAGGAGGAGTCCGCAGAGCTGGCAGTGGAGCTGAGGCTGAGAGAGGCAGAAGCTGCGTGCTGCGCATCGGAATGACGTCTCGGGAGCAGATGGGGAGAAAAGTGGACTCCGAGCTGGGATGCAGAGGCTCCCACACTCGTGTCTGTCCTGCGAGCATCGAGGAGGCCGCAGAGGCTACGAGGAGGGACGCAGCGATCCGGCCTGGGGAGGGCTGCTCTCGCCCCAGCCACCATGGAAACAAGTCACAAATGGAAAGGTCACCGGAGCGGAGCGGTGACTCACCCTGTGTTTGCTGAAGGGGGCCAGCCTCCTCCTCTGTGCCTTCCCCTGGGCTGGGCTTCCCACAGAGGTGAGGAGCACTGCTTGCGACGCAGGCACGCACACAGATGGCCCTGCTTCTGGGAAGCAGCATGCACGCACGCAGGGAGGAGCTGAAGACTGTCCCTCGGCCTTTCTGGTGAAGGACTGCAGAATGCAGATGCTCGGTCAGGAGACACAGATGGCAACCGGCATGTCCTTCACGGGTTCTGACCCAATTCCCGAGTTCTCGGGAGTCTCGGTGGAAGACAGCCGTGTTGGGACAGGGGCCGGGCAAGTTCTCCAAAGCTAAAAGGGGTGGGAGACACATGACCTTCACGTTATCAGCAAGAAGCTCAGTCCTGCAGGGAGAGCTGGGAGCTCAGTGTGGAGCGATGTCACCGATCTTTTAACCCTTCTGACCGTGGGCTGTTCTCACTGGGGGGTGGCGGTCAGTTACACATAAATACATGGACACCTACTCTGAGCCTTATTGTTTGGCGAGGCAGTCTTGTGAGTATCTGTCCACCGCTCCTGGTGTCCTGTCCACAGTGCTTTTGCTTCTAGCTCTCGCCGTGTTTGAGAACCCCGTGTCACCATCAGCTCTGGCCACCTACACAACCGAGTGCAGCTGGAGCCTTTGGCTTGTTTTTAGACCACAGCCCGCCGTGCTGCCTTCCCCCTTGACCTCTGCAAGCAGCAAATAACCTTTGCCTTTCATGAGCCCTCTGTTGCCTAATTGCTGTCTCCTTATCTGATTCATTCACATCTAGCAAGCCTTTTTTTTTTCCTGTAGGTCTTGCTGTGTTGCCCAGGCTGGTCATGAACTCCTGGGCTCAAGTAATCCTCCTGCCACAGCCTCCCAACGTGCTGAGATTACAGATGCAAGCTACCATACTCAGCTATATCAAAGTCTTTTCACTGTAGACTGGGCCTGGAAAAACAGCAGTTAGTCCAAGGAACTCTGCCCTCAATGGTGAGAGTAAGTGTTGAGATGGCAGAGAGTGGAACGGTGTGGTACCGGGTTTGGAATTCTGTGCTGATCAACCCCACCACCCCTCTACACTCTCAACCTGCTTAGTGATCCAGGGGTGGGCTTCACACACGAAGAGACCTTAATCCAGGTCCTCACAGGGGATAGTAACCATGTGACGTCAGGAAGGCCCTGTGGTTCCAGGGGTTTGTGTGTCTTGGGGTGGACGGCGACAAGTGGTCGTCCCCTGAACAGACATGGGCCATGCTGCCTCCTCTGGGCCAGGCACCCGCAGACTTGGTCTTTGATGTCCTCAACCCTAAGTCAAGGTTGGCACGGGAGATTGAGGCAGTGCACACGTTAATATCTCAACTAGCTGTGTGACTAATTGTGTAGCTTTATATGTATCAGGGAAAAGTGGCATGCTACTTTTCTTCTAAAATAGACTAAGTAAAAAGTAGGCCAACTTATATATTTTTAATGTTAGTATAGAATGGCATAGTTTGTACTTAGATATGGCAAAACTGTAAAGAAGCCTTACAGCGCAAGCAAATCAAAAGACAGCCTTCCCCTCTGAGAACTACACCCAAGAATCGCCCCGTGGAGCAGACAGGCTCACGTTTCTCCTTTAACCTTCTAATGTTTTCCCATGGTCACGGTGGGTGACACGGTGAGACACTGATGCAAATAAATCAAGTAAGATAAAGTGAGCCAATAAGGTTCTCCAGTAATCATGCGTGCTATGTCCTCGGCCTTAACAAGTGATGTATTTGGCATTTACAGCAACCAGGTACTGTCTTAGCACGTTGCTTTTTTTTTTTTTTTTTTTTTTAAAATAGCGTCTCACTATGTTGCCCAGGCTGGCCTAAAACTCCTGGGCTCAAGCGATCCTCCCACCTCAGCCTCCCAAAGTGCTGAGATTATAGGTGTGACCACCATAATCAGGTGCCATTTTTCATCTGTTAACTCATTTAATTCTCACAAGAAATCCGGAAGGCAGCCACGGTTGTCATCCCTACTTTCCATGTGCGAAAATGGAAGCGTGGAGGGAGCCAAAAGTGCCTTTCATATGCTTTCCCCAAAAAACTGCATTTTCCACGGTGATCAATCTGGCATAAAGG